GCTAGCCCCTACCTCCAGTCAGCCCCTGTCCTGTCTTCAGCCAGCCCCACACTCCCTTGCCTCCAGCCAACCCCACACCCTCCTGTCTTCAGCCAGCTCCGCACCCCCTGCCCTGCCCTGCCCGCAGCCAGCCCTGCACCCCTTGCCTCCAGCTAGCCCTGCCCCACGCCCCTGTCTGCAGGTGGCCCCACGTCCACTGATGCCCTGCAGTTCCCAGGGCAGTAACCTTGCACACCTGCCTCAATGAGGGGGGCAGGGAGCAGCTGGGACCCCCACATGTGCACACCCTAGGGTGACCAGGCAGCAAGTGTGAAAAATCAGGACGGGGTGGGGGGTAATAGGAGCCTATATAAGAAAAAGACCCAAAAATCATGACTGTCCCTATAAAATCGGGACATCTGGTCACCCTAGCACACCCCCAGGGAGTGGCGGGGACCCACACATGTGAAACGGAGCTCATTTCTAGTTCAGGCCCATTTTTTTAAAAAAGAACTTTAGGCAGGGTTAACATACATCCGTATTTTCCCGGACAGGTCAGGCTTTTTGGTTCTTAAATCGCCGTCCGGGAGGAATTTTTAAATTTTAAGAATTCCTCCCGGGAAAATACGGATGTATGGTAACCCTGTTGGTACAAAAAATACATACTGGGGCACATCCCTTAAATCAGAACTTTTTATAGGGAACCAGTTGTTAAGATTTTGGCAGCTCATCACTGCAACCCAACGTAATGGCTAATATCTGGCTCTTCCTTGAGTCTTCCATGAAGGAAGCCATGGGTCAGCAGACTGACAACAGCTTAAACAGAACTCTGCCTCTGAGGAGAGGTGCCGAGGAATCTTATAGATGGAGTACATCTTTGAAAGTGGGGGAGGTGGGCCAACCTCTGACAGACCACTGATGAGAGACAGCCCCCAGGAGAAGTACTGTCCATTTATGAAAAAAATAAAAAGTAGGAAAGAATGTAAGGAAGTAAGAGTTACTTGCTAATTCTGCTTTTCTCCCTCCCTCCCCCACTCCCTATAAAACAACAACAAAGGCAGGAAAGCCAGACCTGCCACAAATTTTCATTCTTGTCACCATTTAAAATTTATATGAAAAAAGGGTTATGTTAACAGTGTGCTAATATTTATATTATGTAATATTTGGTATTCGAAGACTTGCTGGGAAATCTTTCTGTGCTCTTTGACTTTAGTATTTCAATAGGTATTTTGTTTTGCTGCATGATCATTTGGGAGATAAAGCTCAATTATGCTGTCTGTCATTTCTGCTTCCATCATGCTTTATATTCTCTTCATTACCATATTCTCCCTCCGGAGCGTTCTCTTACAATAAATGACACAGCCATAAAAAAAGTTCTAAAGAAACACCACCCCCCCATTAACTAATATAAAATTTTTGCAAGAAGTCATAGGACAATTTTTCTTAAACTGCAGAAGACTCGGCAACTAGGAGCAGGGCCGGCTCCAGGCACCAGCAAAACAAGCGGGTGCTTGGGGCCGCACATTTCTAGGGGCGGCATTCCGGCGCCGGCCATGCCGCCCCTAGAACTGTGCCCCCGCCGCCCCAGCTCGCCCCCGCTGCACCGCTTCTCCCCCTTCCTCCCAGGCTTGCCGCGCGCCAAACAGGTGTTTCAGGCGGGGCAAGCCTCGCAGGGAGGGGGAAGAAGCTGAGCGGTGGCGCGCCCGGGGGAGGTGGCGGCGGTGGAGCGGAGGTGAGCTGGGGCGGGGAGCGGTTCCTCTACCCCCCACCTCCGCTCCGCCTGCTCCCCTGAACGCGCCGCCGCTCCCCCGCCTGAGCGGGAGGGGGGAGAAGTGGAGCGGCGGCGTGTTCAGGGGAGCAGGCGGAGCGGAGGTGAGCTAGGGCTGCGGGGGAGGGAGCTGTAGGAAGCAATGGTGGGGGGGGGGGAGGGGAGAATGCAGCACGCACGGGGGAGGAGGCGGGACCGGGGATTTGGGGAAGGGGCAGAGTTGGGGCGGAGCCAGGGGGCACGGGAAAAACCGGGGGTGGGCAAACATTTGTTTGCTTGGGGCGGCAAAAATCCTAGAGCCGGCCCTGCGGAGGAGAAGTTCTTAGCAATTAAGGATCGTAGGCAGTCATACGTAAGTAAAAAAGTATAGGGTTAGAAACAACTTGGTTTTCTGGTGTTACTAACAGCAATTTATTGATAACGCCTATATTATTGTAATACTCTTACATTTCACCGTTTCTGGTTACCACCTTTTGCACTTTGCTGAATTTGGCCTTATCACGTTGGGGATTAAAGTCAAAACCACAAGCAGAAAAAAAATTCCAACACTTTAGTATTTGTCCTTCCCAAAACTGTTGTTGTCCACTATCCTTTGAACAAGGAGAAGTTTATGAATGATCACACTTCATATTTCCTTGTAGTTTTGATAATGTTTTGATAAAAAATAGGAAACAGAATTCTGAAAGTAGTTCAGGACATACCAGATTTTAAATACAAACAACAAAGAAGGTACTGTGAATAGTTTAAACAATAATCCCAACTCCACTGTCAAAAAGCTTTCATTTTGGATCCAGGCCACTCTAAAATGGTGCTCCCAGCAACCTGCAATTGCCTCCCCACTTATCTATTCCATATGATCCACCCCCCTTCTGCCAATTCCCAGCCTCACACATTCTGCAGTGCCACAGATCCATTCTGCCTAAACATACCTGGTACATTTCAGCAGTATAACAGGCAAATTCCACCTTCATAAAGAATTTGGCACATTCTGCAGCAAACAAGTTAAAAACAGTGGCAGTGATAGGACAATTCATGAAGAGTGTCCATAGTGGGAAGGGAGCACTTTACATACCCAGGATACAGCACACTCACGATTTTCCCTTTTAATTGACTGCCCATTGTTTATAGATGGACATGTAGGACTTATTACACCTGTGGTGTACTTCTGTGTACAGAGTAATGCAGGTGCTCCTACAGCACAGCACTCCACAACTATTGATTTGGGTAAGGAGCTCCTGTCTCTCAGAAATCAAACGAGTACTGTGTGACAGGGGTTGCCATAGAACTTATAAGCATGACATTTTTATAGAATAGTACAGAAAAAAAGCATGGAATTCCTTTGCCACTTATGGATGTGCATATTACAGATGTTTCACTACTTTTAAAAACTGAAAATGTATATTTCATTCACAGTCTCAAAAGAACATTCTTTCCATTACAACGTGTCCTTTTAACCACCAGACAGATTTATAAGAATACAATGAAAACAGTATACAGGTTTTTTTAAGTGAATCGAAGCCAGTCAGAAGACAAACTATTCTAAATCTATATGTTTACTAAATTAGGTAGATAAAACATTTTGATATATAGATTAATTATGTAGAAAGGCAATTGTTTGTATGACAGACAATAGAAAATGTAAGTGTAGCGTGTGCTTGGCCCAGCTGCCTTTTTGGCTGTTATAAATTGTTTCTGAAGTGTGTCTCACTATTTTCATCCAAAATTGTTCTTGCAGCAGAGATCATGTGTACTCCTGCATGCGATTTCCCCTCTCTCCTGAGAGAGGAGAATGTGCCGCAGTGTACTTTTCTTGAGTTACACTGCAGTATGATCTGTTTTCTTATGCAGGCAGTATGATAGGTCTGTGTTTCATGCTGCAACAGCTCTCACTTGATAGCGGAGAGAGACAGAAATATGAAATAAGCAAAGATGACCACACACTGGATCACAGCAATAAAACTTAGCTGTGTCTAAGGAAATAGATCAACACATTTGCACCATCCCCTCACTGAAAATTATGTTAATAATGCAGAGGTTTGCCAGCCATTAGGTATTTCTGTACTGTAGCTATGTCAGCAGGTTCTCCTAGTATACTGGAAAGCTAGATAATCCTTTCTGAGTGCGTTTTGGGACCTCAATTTAGTAATTTTCTAGGCCCACAACAACCAATAAACCAGCATCTTTGCTAGGCAGTTTTTAACGGTACGTTATATTATTTTTGCCTTGCTGATATCTAATCTAGGACAGCAGGTACTTGTGTACTGTTATTTTAGAAGGTGGGGGGTCTATTCTTGTACTGATGCACAAGGTAGCTAACTCCTATTAATACAAACAGAAATTATGTTTGTAATTCCCTAGCTCATTTTAATAGACCTCCTAAAGTTGTATTTTTGCAATCTCAAATGAGTCTGGCAGCTTCTTACCATTGCAGTGTCAGCACTACATGAGAGCACATGCTGAACCTAAGCCCATGAATTGCTGGTCCAGAGGCAAAAGTGCTAACAAAAAAGCTACACTGACATATCAAGAGATATAGTCGTCACATTCCAGCATCATCTGAAATTACTTAAGTGGAAAAACAAACTAGGAAAACTGTAAATTATATAGAAATCTATAAAATATTTTCCATTATTATTTTTATCATTTATTTCATGTACTAATTCCTTAGTTGCCTAAATCTTAAAGAGCAGCCATAATAATAATAAGTATCTATTCTTACTATGATACAGAATTTTAAAGCAAATTAAATGTGGGGGAAAAAACTGAAAGTCCTTTTAGGTATTGAGTATTTGAACAGTTGTTGTCTTTGTTAATTTGAGCTAATGAGTCAACAAGCAACAACAACAAAAAAACATTTTGAAAATGTTAATCAAGTAACTTAAATCTTAGCTCTAATTATTTGAAACTCATTTCTCTGCAAGGTCAACAAATGATAAACCTCCAACCCATTATGTTAAAGAAGAGATAAAGAGTAGATGATTAAAAAAAAAAACTAAGATTGAATCTTCCCTCTCTCAGGATATTGTGTTTCCGTCCATGTATTTAAACACCATGAGCTTCTGTGTCTTGCACAGTACCCAAGTACACTGTCAATAAAAACTACTGATGGTTTTCAGAGCAGCCTTAGGCTCCATGAAAGTTGTAAATGTCTAAAATAATTATGCAAAGAACAAATATAATTTAACATTTGTTATTTTTATGGCAATTGAATGCTTTATTTTCATAATTATTTTTTTTTGTTTTTCCTTAACAGTGAATCTAATGTTTTTGTGGAAGATGCTATGTAAGAACATGAGAACGGCCATACTGCGTCAGACCAAAGGTCCATCTAGCCCAGTATCCAGTCTACCAACAATGGGCAATGCCAGGTGCCCCAGAGGGAATGAACAGAACAGGTAATCACCAAGTGATCCATCCACTGTCGCCCATTTCCAGCTTCTGGCAAACAGAGGCTAGGGACACCATCCCTCTCCATCCTGACTAATAGCAATTGATGGACCTAGTCTCCATGAACTGATCTAGTTCCTTTTTGAACCCTGTTACAGACATTTTCACAACATCCTCTGGCAAGGAGTTTCACAGGTTGACTGTGAGTTGTGTGAAAAAAATACTGCCTTTTGTTTTAAACCTGCTACCTATTAATTTCATTTGGTGACCCTTAGTTCTTGTGTTATGAGAAGGTGTAAATAACACTTCCTTATTTACTTTCTCCACACCAGTCATGATTTTTAGACCTCTATGATATCCCCCCTTAGTTCTCTCTTTTCCAAGCTGAAAAGTCCAAGTCTTATTAATCTCTCCTAATATGGCAGCCATTCCATACCCCTAATAATTTTTGTTGCCCTTTTCTGAACATTTTCCAAGTCCAATATATCTTTTTTGAGATAGGGCGAACATATCTGCACACAGTATTCAAGATGTGGGCATATTATGGATTTATATGGAGGCAATATGATATTTTCTGTCTTATTATCTATCCCTTTCTTAATGGTTCCCAATATTCCATTTTTTTGACTGCCACTGCACATTGAGCGGATGTTTTCAGAGAACTAGCCACAGTGACTCCCAAGATCTCTTTCTTGAGTGGTAACAGCCAATTTAGACCCCATCATTTTCTATGTATCATTGGGATTATGTTTTCCAATGTGCATTACTTTGCATTTATCAACATTGAATTTCATCTGCCATTTCGTTGCCTAGTCACCTAGGTTTGTGAGATCCTTTTGTAGCTCTTCACAGTCTGCCTGGGACTTAACTATCTTGAGTAGTTTTGTATCATCAGCAAATTTTCCCACCTCACTGTTTACCCATTTTTCCAGTTCATTTATGAATATGTTGAATAGGACTGGTCCCAGTACAGACGTCTGGGGGACACCACTATTTACCGCTCTCCATTCTGAAAACTGACCATTTATATATAGATAGTGTTGGAGGCTGGAATCCTCTAAGTTCACAGAATGTGTCAAGCATGGGCATCAGCAGTACAAAAGTCCCCACACTGCACCAGTACCTCAGGCTTAATCTAGAGCAATGGTCCCCAACCCTTCTGTGGGAATAGCACATTCATATTTCCAACAGACTGTGGCGGGTGCCAAACACCCCGCTGCCGAAATACTGGCATTTCGGTGGGCGGTTCTCAGGTGGCTGCGCTCGGCGGTGGCATTTTGGCGGCGTGGTGTCCTGCGGGCCCACACAACTGCCCCGGTGGGTGCTATTGCACCCACAGGCACTGCGTTGGGGACCCCTGATCTAGAGGAACCTGTGAGGATAAAATGGTAATTAAAGTCACCATGCCCATTTAATTCTTGGACCACCTGCTACAACACCCTGAACAAGTGCCTCTTATTGTTGTGTTGCAATGCTGTTTACTAAAAATTGAACTGAAATCACTAATTCTTTCCCATAATTTAAAAAATAATCAGATGGTAACAAGTTTCTATCAATACTGACTTGAGTCATAATGTAACTTGTGGTCTAAGGGTCAAAGACCCCTTTGCCCCATCACTAAAGCCATTCCCCTTTAATTTTAATAGCAACCCGTTTATTATCGTGTATTAATTTTATATAATAAACACAGATTGAACAAGTACATATGATAAAAATGTAATCTTTATTCTTTTGTCTGGTTAGTAATGTATTTATGGGAAAACATTTTCCGGCATGCAGTTCACCAATACACTACACATCAATATTTTTAGTAAAAGAAAGAGTCTGTTTAACTCCACCTTGTGTAAGAAAGAAAAACACCCTGATGTGATGCATTATACAAGTTCACTACTTTGTTCTTGTGAAAAAAGATTGTGGATCCCATATAATATTTTGAACAGTTCTAGTGCATCATGAATCAACAAGAACAACAGTCTATATAAACAGACAATTGGAAAGATCAAGGATTCTATGAATAAGACTACCTTGAAACTTCAGATGCAAGCAGCGCTAGAAATTCAACAAATTTCTCCATTCTTTTTCCACATACCAAAACCAACCTACTCAGGAGGCAAATGAACTCTGGTCCCCATTTTATTTAAAATTATTTCATATTAAAATATGTTCAAGTATAATAATAAGCAGAAGCGTACAACTACCCATTGACTTCTTCATATCTTAAATTTCTTAATGAAAAAGAAGTAGGAATAGAAATGAACAAAAAAGTGACTGACAACAACTTGAGGATAACTGTAGCTGCTTATAGGTACAAAATGCTGAAAAATAAAGTGATTTTTAAAAATAACGTAGTTTTTTATAAAACTGTTTTCTAACCCCACATTTTCAACAAGTTAAGCAGTTTACATGTCCTGTATAGTCCAATTATACACCGCATGATATTGATTAATTTTTTAAAATTAAAATTAAAGAAAAATAATCTCTTAAATAGCAGCAAACTGTTGCTTACTGAGATGAGGAATGACGTCTGGTTGAACAATTTGTTTCACTTTTCCACTGACACATGGCTTCCCATATTAGATTTCTGAACTTTGGAAGGCGTAAGATACAGCAACAAGGTGTAAGATACAGATAAACATGCATCAGTGACAATCTTCAAATTATTTATAATAGTACAGAATATATCATATTATCTGTTGAAAGTTTGCAAACTTGACTTATTAAGGTAGATATTTAATATAATAAATACTGTGGTCAGGTCATTATTTGCTTGCTCAAATATGTACCACTGTGTCAAACAACGATTTAAATATGAAAAGCCATTTGATTGACAATTACAATGTCAACCTTGCTGACAACAGATGACATTTAAAAAATACTGTAGGATAAAGCAGAATAACTACACCTATTTGGACATTTCACTGTTTAGGGAAGAATAATTTCATAGCAGAACACTTGACAAAAACACATGGGGACCAAATTCTTCCCTGATTTACACCTCCCCTGCCACGTCTCCCCTGTACAACCCTAATAGGGTTGGGTTGTGGGCATGAGGTATAAATCAAGGCAGTATTTGTCCCAAGGGTTCTTAACGTTACCATTGATCTGCACGTTACCCCCTTTATCTTAAATGGCTTTTACTCACATGAATAAGAGAAGTAGAGACAGAATGTAGCTCCAGACCTTAGAAGAAAATATGGAATGCACTGTTGAAATGTAATAAGTTTACATTAAAAGGCAATAAAATCAACCAACCAAACCAGAAAAATGACTGTTCCATTTTTGGGAATTCTTTTTGACTTTATATTTATTATGATTTTTCTGGATGTTTTATTTCATGATAGCTAAAATACTTCGAAATTAAGAGCCAGCCTGAAACCTGAAAGTAGATAGAACCTCTGCTGCTCTTTGTGATGTCATGTTTTTCCATGCATGAGCTATAAGTACGGCATGCCTTCATGCAAATCACTTCAATCTGAACATGAGAGAGAATCATTATCAGAGTATAACAACTCACCACATATAGACTTTAAAATGGTAGGTAAATAATTATTTTTTTAAGAAAACCAAAAACTAAATAACCAAAAAGAAAAAAGTGAAATAAACGAATCAGCTCTCTGTGGCAATAACTACCCTCTTCCAAGGGCAGACTCCTCTACTGGTATTTATTGATGTCTTGTCTATATCCCCAATGGTCTTGTCATCTTTTTGTGATGGCACTGATCTGATTTAGACTTAAGGTCATGGGGCAGGGACCCTGCTTTTAAATTGGCTTGTTAAGAACCATGCACACCTTATGCCGTATAAATAGTATCTGACACTTGAATACTTGTGAAAGAGCACTTATCTCCTTTCCCCAACATAAAGGAACCACATAAAACAAATCTGTGAATTAAAACAAATGACTGCACCAACAGAAATTTTAAAAGTAGGACAAATGTGGCTGTAGAAATGCACAGAATGGATATAATTACACCACTGAAGTATTTGTTGTTACCATTTGTTGTTACCACGCATTTTAAGAATGATAGATTTGCACGCTTTAATGTTCTCTACAGTCTGAGTAGCAATGTTGTGACTCCTCTTCATCAGTACCAGCAGGTAATGGAAACAATCATCTCTTGGCAAGGCTGTTACCCTACAGAGTCACAGTTTGATGATGAGGGGTCACTGTCTGTCTTGATATAGGCACTGACCTTAAGGTGTAGGGGTGTGTGTGTGTGTGTGTCTATATATATATATATATGTAAAAGTTGTCAGTTTGGTGTAGACCTTCTACAGGAGCCCTATTGACATAAATGTCACTTTCTCAAGCTGTAAACAATTTGTCATGAATTAAATTCTTTGTTTCCTTTTACTTTTTACTTTCCCTGGTGTCCTTATTTTTGTCTTCTTTTTCTGAATTGTCTTTTTCATATTTGTCTTTGTTTGGCTTTGTTACACTATCGTAGGAAGGTGGAGAGGTTGTGGAGGGGGTCCTATCTGTTTTTTCTGCAGCTGAGTTTTCACTTAGCTTATCCAGAGTCATATCTTCTTTGATAGGCAGACCATGCTTTTCTTTGCAATACATAAATGAAACTTTTTTCACCGTTTGCCTTAAAAGGTAATGTCTGTAAGCTCGCTGAATAACAGTAGCGGACACTTCCTCTTGTTTTCTTTTTAATGTGGTTGTAATTGGTTCATAGGAGACTTTAGAAGGATTAGCCGCCATAAAACGATCTTCCATTTGTATTCTAAGTGCATCCATCTCATCACTTTCCCCCAAAACACGCTTTGTAAAAGCAAACAAGATGTCAAGGCAGTGAATTCTGTCACCACTTACCATGGGCAGATCCATTGCAATAAGCTGAAGAGTGTTTGGTTTTGCTATAAGAAGAGGAGGATCCAAAGAGGCTGCAAAATCAAACAGTTTACTGTATTCTATAAACTGGGTTGCATCTGGATCATACTTTTCCCAAACTTCATAGAACATCTCAAAGTCATCCTCACTCAAGGGCTCGGCACTTTCTTC